TGAATGAAGAACACCAAGAAACTCGGCGAATCTTCTTCTGAAAAAAGAGGATTGATGCCGATATTTGCTATTAAAGATCTTTTGAAGAAGTGGGAAGATGTCAGAACAATGGTCTTAGAATGGCATCCAAACCAGGTTTGAGGCTTGGGGATTTCTACAATTGCAATCCTATTAATTACTTACGAAAAATCCTGAAGAAGAGAGAAAAGCAATCGACATTAGACAGATTCTTTAACCCTTTCAAAACGGAAAAAACATGACTAATAAAAACGCAAGACTGTTCATGTATCTATTTTTATTATTACGTATAAATAAATGTAGTAAGAAAGTATATATTTTTTTATTTTTGGCGGTCTCCAGAACGAATTAATTAAATTCCCATTAAAACCTATGGTAAATTGATAATCGGTTAACGAACAATTCGGATAGCGAACAAAGTCTTGGAACGAATTATGTTCGTTAACCGATCACCCACTGTATTCTTTTCTACATTTTACTTCATAGTAGTCTAAATCAACTTTTTCTACATAAGGGCAACACACAACTTTCCAATTGGCACAGGCAGCTCACAAGAAAATAGAAAAATGCAGTTAAAATCACTTATTCATATACAATTTAAATAAACCTGTGTTAATTTGTAATGTGATTTATGGAACTGATGTAAACATATCTGATGAAATATTTGGCTGAATATTGGTCACTATTTTAAATTTTTGAGATGCAAATCTGTTTCTTTTTACTAAATTCATTGTGGAGAAAAACTGCTCACATAGATAAGTTGTACAAAATAACAAAAAGGAAGTGTACAGCAAAAATTTAAGTTGGGAAATTGATTTTCATTGATAAAACTTTAAAAAAAATTAAATTCGCTACAAAACTTTCAATTCAAAATTACTTTACAAGTCTATCTCCAATTGAAGTTCATTTGGTACATTTTCTATATTTACTGAAAAAAGTACTGTAAAAATACCTATTGTTTTCTCAGCTAAGGAATAGTATAATAAATATAGATTAATAGAGTAAAATTTGCAAAAAACTAAATGCAATGATAGTGTTTTAAAAACTTTAAGTTAATCTGACTTCACTCAACACTGTAGCACTAGAAACTACTGGACATGTATAAAGCAGGCTCTTGTTATTTAGTACGACTAGACCGCTCGATGTTGATAATTTTTATTTTTTAAAAATATTTTGTGACATGTGGCACACAAAGTAGTAGTGTGGGCCACAGGTTGCTCATCCTTGGTATAAATTGTCATAAGTTTTTACTTGGTGCAATTTTTTTTTACATCTCAAGTGTCATTTGGATAATTATTGTATCATTACATCAGCGACTGCTGTGGTGGTCTCCAAGCGCCGACAAAATGCATCGCCACTCAATGCTTTTGATGTGCCATTTAAAACATTTTATAATGATCTTTCCAATTGGCATAAATTTGACCCTTTTTATATTAATGTTACTCAGAATAAAGTCATATGCATGAATTTCTTGACTCCAGATTCTTTTGTTCTGATGGAAACTACAGGCTATTTTTGCACAAATATTAGCTATATAATAAATAGCATTTTAATCTATTTTGGATTGGTGATTGCACTTTTGTTACAGTGACTTCAATGACCTAATTTAGTTCATGCTTAATGAACTAAATGAGGTCACCTTAAATGCAACTTAAGTGAAATTCTCCCTTTTTAACTTAAGGGAATTTGTGCACTTTGATTGCTGATATTTCGACAATAGCTTTATAGAAAATCTTTCAATTTTGCACACTAGCTATGAAAACAATTGCCTTTTGAATGACATTTGAAATTACTTTAGACATTTAGGGGTGGAGAAATCAAGTCCCAAAAATTGGCAATTCTTTCCTATTTAGGTATATACATACAAATCAGTGACACTGATTTGATCATTAAATATATGTATATGTTACCGCTAAAGCTCGAAATCCGTTAATATGCAGATTACCTAGGGTGATCCGTTAAAGTTGCTAAAATTGTTCCATTTCTCAAATTACCTAGATAATGTGCAGAGTATCTAGGTAATTCGCACATTACCTACTAGGCACTCGGTAAAGTGAAAATAAGATCTTTGCCACAAATAAATGTACCACAAATAGGTGTAGTTGTCGCAGAAACCAATTGCTATGAAATTCAAAGTGTCACCAATCTTTAGACTGCACTAATAAGTAAGCACAATTGGATAATGTTACCGATGCTGAGTAAAATGGCGGCTTGTCTCCCATTCCAGCAAAGAGAAGAAAGGAAACAGTGGGGAAGCAAGTTCAAACCTAACCTAACCTATTCTAATAATTTGGTTGGTAATAATTATGGTAATTTATTAGAATGGGTTAGGTTAGAACGTGCGTCCCCACTGTTTCCTTTCTTCTGTTTGCTGGAATCAGAGACGAGTCGCCATTTTACTCACCATAGGTAACATTAACTGCACAATTACATCATGCGATCACCAGAAAAAGTATGACAACTTTATTATTTTTCGTCTCCGGTCCAAAAGTAGGGTATCGTTGAAGTCGTCTCGGTCCCCTCAGTTCATATAGATACTCAAAGTCCCGAAATTCCATAGGTGGTTATCTATATAATAATTTCCCTAATTGTATTAATATTTTAAAATCATTTGATTTTTTGTATGTTTTTTTAATTGGTTAATGATTGATTCTATCAACTAATTTGTTGATTGTTTGTATTAGCTTGATTCTTTAGATATCGAAAATTAAATAAAGAACATTATGTTATTAAATTAACATAATGTTCTTTATTTAATTATGTTACAGAACGTTGCTGTTGTTTCAGCAAAGATCTTATTTTCACTTTACCGAGTGCCTAGTAGGTAATTTGCAGATTACCTAGATAATCTGCACATTACCTAGATAATCTGCACATTACCTAGGTAATTTGAGAAATAGAACAATTTTAGCAACTTTAACGGATCACCCTAGTTAATCTGCAGATTAGCTAGGTAATTTGCAGATTAACGAGTTTCGAGCTTTAGCGGTAACATATATATAGGGTCAGACTTTAGGCAGTCAGTCTATATACATCACTGAGATTTACTTCACAGGGCGTTTACTGTTGTGATTCTTAATAGCAATAAAGCCTAGATAAAACTCATCTGAATTTGTATTTAAATTAAATCCTGTTATCAAAAATCAAAAAATGTGTTTTTGACTAAAATGCGACTTGAAAATTAAGAAAAAAAATCTTAGAACTAAACAGTATTAGGTGAAATTCTATTAAGAACCTTTAATTTGCATTACAGTAAAAAACTTAATTTTTCAGAGTTTTGCAGGGAGCTGCTAAAAAACTTGTAATAAACCAGTTTATAATTTAAGAATACTTGAAGTAGGGAAAAAAATAAAATAAAATAAAATGCAGAAGACAAATCACTTAAAATTTATTAACATTTGTTTCAAAAAAAATGTACTAAATTATTGATCAATGTGGAATTATTTTGGTTGGAAAAATTATTAAAGTGGCAAAAAATGTACACTGCTGGCCTTTAAAATTGCAACACCAGGAAGGAATGATCATATGAAAGGAAGAAGAGGTTGGGATATGCAAATGATTAGTATTTCAGTGCATTTAGACAATGCAGGAGGGACAAACGACATCTGAAGCACTGCATAAAAGAAAAGTTGTGCAGTGGATTTCTCATTCAGAAATCGCTTTGTAAGGTCGGGGTTTCATCAGAATAATGTGTTATGCCTCGAATAAGAAGAAGAAATGCTTACCAGCAAGTGTTGGAATTCGATAGAGGCAGGATCATTGCCTCTCAAGAGAGTGGATTATCGTTCCGTGATATTGCCACTCGCACTGGTCGAAATACAACCACTGTCATGCAAATATGGAATCGATGGGCTGCTGAGGGTCTTACTGAACAGTATGCAGGATCTCAATGCCCCCCATGACTAATGCCCGAGAGGACAGACATATTGTGAGGTCGGCCATGCAAAACCGTACAACCACATCACGGACCATTAGTCAGGAAATGAGCTTGTTTGCAGCACGTCTAGCATCTGCTCGTACGGTGCAACAATGTTTGCAGCAGCGTGGACTGTCAGCACGGCGACCATTACTTCGGCTTCCCTTGACAATGCAGCATAGAGAGAGATGGCGACTCTGGTGCACCCAACGACAAAGCTAGATACAGAACTGGCACAATGTCGTCTTTTCAGATAAGTCCCGGTTCTGTGTGCAGCATTCTGATGGCCATATACATGTCTGGAGGCTCCGAGCAGATCGCTCATCACCTGCTTGCATTTGATATTGGCTTAGGGAACCTGCACCTGGTGTGATGATATGGGCAGCCATTGGGTACACGACACGCACATCTCTAGTTCAGATCGATGGTAATTTGAACTCAGATCAGTACATTTATGACATCTTACATCCAGTGGTTGTGCCCTATCTTCAAGGCCTGCAAAATGCCATCTTCCAACAAGATAATGCAAGGACTCATGTTGCACGTTGAGTTCTGACTTTCCTCGATACAGAGGATATTCAATTGTTGCCCTGGCCTGCATGGTCTCCAGATCTCTCACTAATTGAAAATATTTGGTCATGGGTTGCTGAGAGACTGGCCCGCCACCCCTCTCCTGCTAATACAGTTGATGAAGCGTGGCATAGACTTGAAGCAGCATGGAATGAGTTGCCCGTTTCTGTCATCCAAGCCCAGTTCAACTCCATGCTTAAACAGATAAGGGCCGTTTTAGCCGCAGGGGATGGCAACTGTGTCTACTAATTTCGCGCCCCTGTAAACCCCCAAACTGCTTGCAAATTTAATCATTTTGTCTTTATGCCATACTGTTTATGTACAATAAATATCTTTTTTTTATTTGCTTTCCTTCTTGGTGTTGCAATTTTAATGGCCAGCAGTGTATTTCTCCCCATTTCAATAATTCTCTGATTTCCAGATTTGGTCAAATTACTTAAACTAGTGTATCTGTCTTTGGGAGCATTTTAATACTAAAAATTTTATTAACAGTTAAATTCAGTATTCATATATAAAATTTTATTGTCTAGATTTTTTACATAATTTTTACACAAACACTTAAATTGTTGATCAAAACCATAAACCAAGAATTATGGAGTTCCACCCTCTGTTATTGAAGAAAAGTTCTTTAAAAAGAAAAAGGATTGCAAAACAAGACCATTTTTGAAAGGAAATTCACTTTAAAAACAAGATAGTCCATTTTAAAATAGCTTTTTTCTTATAAAAGTTGCAACATTAAATCCAAAATCATAAAGTTCCCATTCTATGGCAGGAATCCCTTAAAAAACTTTATTAGAAACTGAAGACAAGTACAATTACACAGCTATGTTTGTTAAAAAGTTGTAAAATATTCAGTCCCAAATACTTAAATATTAGACAAATATAAATTTCCTGATTTATGGTATTTACAACCACGAAAATATATTTTATGAAAAACACATTTACGAGAGTAATAGCATGAAAGATCAGTTGGTTGATTGTTTATGTTTCTCGGCAAATTGCTGGATTAATTTAGACTTCAGTTGTGGAATTGTACTAATTTTAAAAAATTTACTGCTCCTGTATTTCGAGTGAATAGCCTAGAATTCAAAATTTATAAAAAAGTTGCAAAAATCAAATTACATTTTAATTTTTTTATTTTAAAAATTTGCAAACAAACAATTACTTACCTGTAATTTATTCTTTTCAGCTGTATATATAATGTGTGACAATCTATACACCAAAGGTAGTAATTGGGATTCGTCATATTGACTATAATAGACTAAAGTTTTATTCCAAGGAGAGTTATCCAATAATTTCATAGATAAGTATAAAGAAGCAGCTGCAACATGAGATGGAGAATAGTGCGCAAGATCATATTCAACAATTGTTGTCTCCATTAAATATTTTGCTAGTGTGTGTGTTGTAGCATCAACCTACATAGAATAGTTTATGTAAAAACTGTACAAGGAAATTATTCCAGAATAAATTACTTACATCACCAGCTTTGGAGTTTCTCCTCAAGAAATGCAATGGAAGAGGTCTTCCTAGAGAAAAGTTGAGCTTTTTCAACATAAGACATTCCATTTTTAAAATTTCTTCTTTTTTATAGGCTTTATCTGTGATGTATACAAAATCACTGACTTCTGGCGAATACATTTCTTCATACTTCGATGCAATGAACATGGCAGTTACACCAACTAATTGAAGCTTATTCCTCTTAACTTCACATTCCTATAATTAAAAATAGTAGTTTATTATTTACTTCTGTTTAGTTTGTGAATGTGTTGTAAATCTTCATTGAATCTTCATGTACTTTAAACCATGCAGATATCAATTCAGAAGTAACAAATTGGACATTCATTCATTGTATATGGGAATAAATATATTAAACAACAAATGATCAATTTCTATAAACAGCATTTAAATGTTTTTATGTACTTTGAAGATTATTAAAAGATTGAGATCAAGTAGTCTCTCTTCAAATGGTTTATTTGCAATTGAGGTACACTAAAAAAGGTTGAGTCAATGGGTATTATAATTAGACATTTGTAAATAACTAGATTACTCAGTGAATAAAACATTTTGATAATACACTTACAACACAGGATATCATTTAAAATATTATGAATTTTCAGCAATAGCAGATATCCCTCCCCAATTAGGCCATTAACTTTAAGGTCTATGTATTCAAAATTTGACTTTTTCATATTTTGTTATCTGTTGACACAATTCATTACAATTATAATCTTTAAAAATTTGTTTTTAATATAGTACCTAATTTTTATAAAAATTGTTTTAACAAAGTTAAATATAGTTTTGTTATTCAATATATGTAAAAAATCTTTGATAAACTAAACTATTCGACTACATTTTATATTAGCTATTTTATACTTCTGACAATTATCTTAAAAACCACACAACCAACTTAAATTATTTGCAAGACTAATTTGAAGAAGATATCTACTTAAGTAGATTTGTTCAGTACAGTAGAAACAAATGTATTTTTTTCACTGATCCCTTCAAATCTTCATAAACTAGAATGTTGAAGTGCTACATCATTTAGCAATTTTTATTTTATGTATTTTTGCAATTTAATACAACTAAAATTATCCCTAGATGAATTTTCATCTCAAATGGTTTTTGAAAAAAGATGACGTACTTTATTGTTCAAAGTCAGTCAAATTATGAAAGTTCAAATGAATTAGATTATTTTATGATAGTGAAAAGGAAATCAATTTAGTTTTGAAATCTTGACAACTTGGACTCAAAAATTGGTGTAGCAAACAGAATAAAGTGATATTCCAGTTTTCAATAGTTCACTATAGATAGTGGTTAAAAAACAATTGGATTTGCAAAATGAGTGTTTAATATATAAAAATTTATACGTGTCCATAGTTTGCTTCTAATAAAGAAAATTGATAAGAATATATTTTCTGACTTAATATTACATGAAACTCTGTGTGTGTGTTGTGTGTGCGTATATATATATATATATACGCGCACACACAAAATGCTATTTATTTTAGTTTAGCTAATTTATAAAGAAGGTTACCTGAAGAAATCTGTCAATAACTGCCACAGTAAGATATAAAGTTTCTTGAAGAAGCTGAAATCTTACATGGACTTGAACCAACCAGTCAATCAAAACACCTCTCATTTTCCCTGTTATTTCAGTTTGTTTATTCAAATGACTTACTCTGATGGGATACTGAATCTAGAAAAATAGAATACCAATTTAGATTTACATTTTTACACAGATTATAGAAGAAAAAACTTACCTCCAATTCTCTCAAATATTTATAAATATCATTGACATAATTACTAACAAGTTGTGGATTTTCACTATCCTCAGCATCAATGTCATTTACATCACCAGGTAACATCCGAGTAGAAAAAGCCTCTGCCAATTCTTCCACCTCAGAAACATCCATTTCATCGGTAGAGATCTGAAATTTTATTTCTTTAACCAAAATCACATTAAAAAGTTAAAAAAAACAAAAAATTTGTACCTTTTCTGCAATAATTTCATTTTTAATTTCTTTGACTTCTACAGGTTTAGGCTTTGGTATCGTTTGAATCTTAATAGGTATTTTTTCTATAAAATCCTAAATAAATTGCAAAAAGATTAAATTTAGAGGAAAAAAATTAATTCTGTAAGACAAGAAAAAATTTAAGTACCTGTTTGATTACAACAGGCTTTCTCTGAACATTCCCGACTACTTTATTTTTAATATCTTCAAGAATTAGCCTCTGTTTCTGTGGCTGTTGTACTGGTATGTTACTCTTACCATATACAATATTCTCTCTGTTTCCAATATTCTGTAACTAGATATTGACAATATAATTTTGAAATTAGTTAATTCTTAAACCATTTTCTTAGCAAAGTAAAAGTTAATAGAATAAATTATTTCATATTAAATGATCTCCAAAGAGCTTACATTAAGAATCTAAAGTTTAAAATATTAAAAAAAAGTTGAATTTGACATAAATAACACATGGTTTAAATGTACATTATATTTTACTTATTGCACACAATATTGTTGCAAGAGACATGTGTACATGTACTGTACCAACTGATACTGTAAATAGATAAGTTTCCTGGCCATTTGTGTGGTGTAAAACTTTATGGACCTTTTTCAAAGTCAACTAGTAGTTATTCTTAGCACTCCATAGGGAAACTAAAAGGGCTAGTTTGAACCAAAGTAATTGTGATATACGGTACTGTATTTTTGTTACCAGATCCTCATTATAAAGTTGCAAGTGTTCAAAATTGGTATTGATCCAAGAAAAAACAGTTTTCTTACAGCTGCAACATTATACTTAGGCAAGAATTTACTACTTAAAAGTTAGTTCTTTGATTTTTCACACACACAAATAATATATATGTTTTCTGTATGTCTCTTATTCTGGATAAACCAGAAATCCATATTAATGGGATCCAGATAAACAGTTCCACTGTATTTAATTATGGTATTTAATTTGATTTCTAAATAAAATTATGAAAATTTAAAAATTTGATTCTTGCCAGGAATGGTTAACAGAATTTCAATTGTATTCCTATATCATTAAAATGTATAAATACATGAAGATTTTATTCATATACTACACATTCAAGTAGATACAGACTTATCCTGAAGTACTGACCTCAAAACATAACTTCTGTATAGACTGTCCTTTAACTATTAATAAAGATTTTATAAGCATCATCACTTGCAAGATACACAGCAATACTTAATTCAAAACAACTAATTCTTCTACAAGTTTGACAAATTTTTTTTTTACAGCATGCAATATGAAATAGAAGAATCAATATTAAATGTTTACTTTGAAGTTTGAATACTCAATTTTTGAGTGCACATTTTTCAATAAGACAAAATTGCTTCCAAGAAAATTATGAACATTTACTACTTAAACAGCCTGTAAAATGCACTGTACAAAACTTATAATGCAAGGCCAAGCAACATTATTCCAACATTTTGAAGATATTCAATGACTTAACTGGGTATACACAATTATTATTATTATTATTTTTTTATACTCTTTCCACCCTGTGGGCACCAAGAGGGCCTCTTATAGCAGGGCCACAATGGGGTGACCGGGTGGTGAGGGACGGAGTCCCAGACATATCTAAATGGATCAGCCCCCGAAAAATTCCCGAGGTTTCCTTGACCCGTCCGGATTCGATCCCAGAGCAGTAGGCTGCCACCTTGACCGCTCGGCCATCCAGCCTGGGTATACATAAATAATCACTATACACAACCAATATACAGCAAGAAACTATAAAGTTTTTTGTAGTTTCTTGCTGTATAATGGTTGTGTATAGTGATTATATAGTTATACTTATCTACTAGGATATCATTATATTTGGATTAATGTCCAAAGAATTCCTCTAAAAGTTGATCATTGTTTCAAATTACAGCATTCCTATGCCATAATGAACATGTCTGACAGACTAGACACAGTTGGTGTTAATAATTTCAAGTTTGATCAATAATAGTTCTCTGTATACAAATTTTCTTGAAAATCTAAGTGCATTGTTTGGAACAATTAAAAGCTACTTTGTTTGTTCTATAGAGGTCACTAATGGTCTTCAGATTGTTTTGATTTATAAAATTGCCTATGTAATCATCAACTGATATTTGAATATTAAGTTAGAGATGCTGTATATTAACTGAATTATTTATAACAATACATCTGTCCCTTGGTATCTGGAGAAATGTATTCATGGAGGAGTCTGGAACAAAACTTCCATGGATGCTTCAAGTCTTATATAAAAACTAGCAGATAAGCCCAGCATTGCTTGGGCAAAAAGTAACGATAGCAAAGATTAAGATTATTACATTACAGCCAATCTTACCCATTTTCACAGAATGCAAGAATTAGGTTCCCGTTTTCAGACTAATTAGAAAATTTTTAGATGGGTCTAAAATTATGTTCGATTTAACGCAAAAAACCGCATCTGTGCCTGTAAATCTTGCACGTTGCTTTCTCTTAACACTTCCATTGTTGAAGCCTTAATCCTGTCCCTTTCCCCCGGTAAGATTTCAAAAAATCCCTTGTTAGGGCACGTCACGAGAATGCACACTAACTGTACCAAATTTCAAGTTTCAACTCCTAACCGTGCTGAAATGCTCGTATACACGTGTGCCATCTATCTTAGGATAAATGTACTATGCCAGAAACCTTCGCAAGAGTGTATTAAACAGCTTCCCAAAGTTTCATGGCAATCGAATAAATGGTGTAGTAATGCATAAAGGACAGACAAACATACATTCATTTTTATATATATAAAAATGGTATAGTATTTGAATATGACCCACACACATCCTTCTGTATACTTGGAAGCAATGGTTCCCAGACTTCCCTCATGACCCCATTTGAGCATTAAAATTTTTTCAACCCTAATATTAAACCTATGTTTAAGATTCAAACTTAAACAATGTAAAAAAAAATTCACGAGCACTTAGTACGAAATACAGTGGGCGATTGGTTAAAATGACTTATTTTAAATTACAAGTATATAAACCACAAATAACTTTGATAAGACATGCATTAAAAATTATCATAATTTCAATCTAATAGATTGATTATTATATACTGTATTTAATATTTGAATCTTCTAAACATCTTGATAATTCACATTAGCTTACCAAAAATCAAACACAGTAATTTTAAGAAAAATTTTAGAGCAATAAAAGACTAAACCAAATCAAATATTTAATGTAAAGGGTCTTATCAGACCAGAATACATGACAGCAAAATTTCATTTTAGTCTTACTACTTGTACTCTTTGATATAGATTGCTCTTTGAAGTTCATGCTTTGTAGGTAGGCAAGGACCTGTTTTATGTAGCCATTTCTATCAAGTAACACCACTGTCCACAGAAAACAGCCTTGTCATATGAGAAAAATCCCATAGATATGCTGTTATTGTTATGCATTCTTTCTGGCGGGAGGAAAAGTGGTCAACCTATATGTCAGCTGCATTTCTTTATGCAGCAAGAGTGTAGCAAAATGATGTCACGAGCAGTGTTGGCCAATTAGAAACCAGTTTCAGTGTGTTCACTGTAAAGCGCTTCTTGAATGCTGCATAAAGAAACACTGGGGGAGGGTCAAGTTTTTATCTATTTACCCAAACAGATGAAAACTTGACATATATACAAAGAAATCACCATTAATTCTCCAAAATAAAATAATTTTAAGTACATAATGAAAGTACATTGTCCTATTCAATTGTCGTACTACCTAAATCTCAACTTGATAAATGTAGAACTTATACAGGATGTGTTTAAAAGAGAATGGCAAAAGTAATCACTTTGAATTGTTTAGTATACATTTTGAGTCTAAACCACCTCTTCAGCTGTTGACAACTCTTTAAAAACTGGTCCTGAGTAAAGTCACAAGGAAAATATCTTTTTAGTTTAATACAGCAGTTCCCAAAGTTTGCACTGCAGCTACCTCACGGTCACCGCAAATTATTATAAAATTTTTATAATTTTTACTCCTATTTTCAATTCAATAGGACAAGACGCGACATCTAGCAGACCTGATCTAAACCATTAACTCAATAATAACTGTTTGCAGAAGCATCTACAAATGCTTACCAGATGGCACTGCAATTTTTAAAATTGTTTTAATAGTTTGTCAAACTTCCTTGGTACTTTGTGTTCATATATAAATAGCTGTCAGTTTTACGTGATTTCATTGTTCAATTAGTTTTCGGAGTTTGTATCGACTGGATATTTTCATAATTAAATCAAGTGAAGATTTTGAAAGTATTTCTTCTCGTATGCATTAAAAAAAAAAAAAAGTCAGTCTTTACTAAGTAGTTATATGCATTCTGACAGTGAAAGTATAGCAGGCACACTGTCAACCAGTGGCAAGAGTGTGGAGAAGGGTAAAATTTTAATAACTCATGATATTTTCGAACTCTGGTTTTATGTCGACAGAAGTCCATGTTAAAGAAAGGCCACAGCGTACTGTGTATGAAAAGTTTTGGCACAAGAGTACTTGCTACCAATTAAGTTGAAACACCATTTAGAAACCAATCATCCTAGCATGGTTATTTAATCTTGCGACTACTTCACTAGAAAATTAAGTGTGTTAAATCAATAAAAAAAAGGTATTTTTTATAAGCAAGCATCAGTATCAAGCAATGCTTTGCTAGCATCTTACAAGATGGCACATAGAATCTCAAAATGTAAGAAGCCTCATACCAATGCATATAAACTCATTTTATCGGCTGCTGTAGATATGGTGAACATTAGGATCGGTGGATCTGCTGGGAAGAAGTTTTCAAAAGTGCCTTTGTATATCAGTCATCAGTACCATCAGTTTCAGAATACAGCATGTAGCTGAGGACCTCAGTTATCAGTTAATTGAAAAAATAAGAAGGGAAGGAATTTCGGTTGCAGTTGGATGAGGCCACAGATAATGATGCTTACTTGATTTGCTATGTATGGTTTATAAATAGTAACAACATTGTAGATGATCTTCTCTTTTGTATAAGCATCAATGCTGGTGCTAAGGCTCGAGATCTTTGATACTTTTATATATAAAAATAATTTGGAGTGGATCAAATGCATTGGTATCTACTGATGGCACTCGTTCTATGTCTGGATGTTATAGAGGATTGCAAGCACTTATTCTAAGCAAAGCCCCTGATACACTGTGGACCCATTGCATTATTCACAGTGAAGCACTCTCATCAAAATATCTGGGTCCTACATTGAACCAGGCCTTAGAATATGTAGTGAATGTAGTAAACTTTATAAAAACTCTGCCATTGAAGACAAGATTTTTCAAAAAACCGAGGATATGGGATCC